CTTGCGGCTGCCGATCGATAGACTGATCACCTATCGATCTTTCTTCCTGTCGCTGAGCGCAATCCCAGACGTACCCCTTTCCCCGCCGGCTTCGAATTGCAGACGGATTAACTGGCTTGGGCCCCGCCAGCTGGAACAACTTGCGTGGTTGTTCAGACGACCGGACCACCTGCGTCGTGATTGCAAGCGGCGTGCGTAAAGTTTTTTGCAACCAATAAGTTGTGTCTGCCTCTCCATTCACCAGCCCGCCCTAACGTACGACCAATTTCTAACGCAACTTGAGTCGGCTCTGGCCGTCCGAGACACTTAGCACTTGTTTACTTTAAAAAAAAAAAAAAAAAGAAAAAAAAGAAAAGAAACTATGACACACTAAATAGGTTATTACATCATACAAGTTTCAAATGGCTTATTTCATCTGCTTGTGGGGAGGTTTATAGATGCAATTCTGATTCGTTGTATACAATTTCTGTGTTTTATATGGATAGTAGTCTACTGCTTTTGCATTTTTTTATATATCAGCACTGTATGCTACCTATTCTTTTTTCTCCAGTCATTGGATTTGGCTCTTTTAAAAGATTCAGGCTTGTCATTCACACAAGAACACAGCATTTTCAGAAAAGAATAGAAAATTATGTCGTATCCATTTTGGATTTGGCAATAACTCTTTATTTTAACACAGTTTAATGATAATCGTTATGTTTCTATAGTACTGTTAACCAACCAGGAAAGGTTTCTCATTTTTCTAGGCAGTATACAGAGTAGCAGATCAATGGGGCCTCATAGATCTTACAGTCTAAACAGATAGGCGAATAGATGGGGGAAGAGATTTAACACATAAGAAAAGTAAACAATGTGTTGGCAGCAGATGACATGTTAATTCTGCAGGCTTTGTTTCTGTTTTTTGGATTTTTTTTGCTGGGTCTGGTTAGGTGGTCATAAATTAAGCTGAATGGGAAAAGTGAAGGGAGAGCCCAATATGGAAGAAAAGAAGCCAGTGGGGAAATGGCAGAAGAGGAGAAAAAATCAAGATGATGCATCTTGTCCTCATTAGAGAACTCTTTCTGTTCTGCAGGTGCTTTTCGTGGCAGTTAACTGCTGGTGGAACCAGGGGAAATGCAGGAAACAAAAACACTTCTTTTATTTTCCTGTGATATATTTGTACCATCGGAGGTAAGTTATGCAAGTGCAATTAGTTTGGATTCTAAATTGCTTTGGTAGATGGCGATACTGTTTAAATAAAAATGTATTAGAAGTGTCATGCTTGCAGCTTGTTATGCACTGGTAAGAGAAGAGATTCATCCCTGGCCAGATAGCTAGCTCTAGGCTTCTGTACCACTTCAATTCTCTTTATAATCCTCATAGATGTAAGGGCATAAATGGGGCAGAGGTCTAATGCTGGCAGGCCCTCTTCAGAGATGTGTACTTCATTTTCTTAATTAGTTACTTAGACCTAATCCTGTCCATTTCTTTGTCTTTAAACAAAATTCTGGTTATTTTTTAATTAATGGGAGGTTTGACTCTGATGAGGATCAGAGAATTTGGACTTGCATGATTATTTGTGTTTTTAATATTTTGTGTTTTCTACAAAGGTGGTTTGTATTACATGGTCCCAATTCACATTGCATCATGTGCATCACATAGTCCCCTTGTTTATGCTAATCTTTAAATATATACTTAAGGCAGCAGTGGGTGCCTGGGACACTAGCTCTGGGCAGCTACTCAGAAGGGGCACAAGAACGGCAGATGCTGTTGCTGCTGCCCCAGCTGCTTATGGTGCGGACTCTGGTATGCTTCTGGCTTAAGAACCATTGAAGCTAATTGGATTTAAGCAGGTGCTTAAGTCTGTTTGTGCATTGGGACTATACCAGTGTGTGTAATGTGCAGAAGTTGAGGATCTTTCTATATCTTTTTTTTTAAATTTGAAAACAGGATATTGAACACAGCTTCTGCTCAGTACATGGGAGGTAGATGCTGTGCAGTCTCCCATGTGTGTTTATGCCTGTGACTCTTTAAAAACCTGCACCATTTCTCCTAGTCCTGCATTTCTTCTGAGGGTGGCTGCCTAATCTTCTTAGATTGTGCAACACTGGAATGGGGTTGTAGGTTTGGGATGTGCACATATGTTTACTAATCTTTCCAATTAGCTAACATTTTCGACTAGTCTAGATATGGAAATTGCACTGATGATTTAAATAGATATATAACCAATACAATGATTTCAATGAAAAATCTTGTAGGGAAGTACATCAGTTTAAAACTGTTTCTTTAGTCTGTAAATTTGTCAACACAAACAAGTTATAAAAAAATACAATTTAAGCTGATGGAGTGACCACATACAAAGTTGTGCCTAAATAATAGAAGGTGAGAATTGTAACTAATATAATTATTCCAGTTTGTCTGAATTCAGGCCAGCTCAAATTCTGTCTGAGCTCAGACATATGTTTCCCCAACATGATTCCTATTCATGTAGTATTTCTTCTTTCTTTTAAGCTTTCTTTTAATCTAAAATGTTTGTATTTATAAACAAACAGAAAATCCACATCAGTTTGCAAGTTGTTCTTGAATGATATATTTGAATTATTTAGGCCATGTAGAGGAGAAATGCTTCCCCCAACTCATGAGACATTAAACCTCTAATATTGTGTACTGTGCATGCAAAGTCATATTTTCCATCTTTCTTTTTTTTTTTCTGACATAATTTTGTTCCTGGCTGTTGATACAATGCATGTTGCTAACAATCTAGAGATTTGTAGTAATACCAGAGTATCAAATGACATGATCCAGTGGTGTGGCTCTAGAGTATTGATTCAATCTGTTTGAATAGATTGTATTTTTAAGTGCAGATTTAACGTTTCTCATTGTATTATGTTTATGTATTATAGAAAATTGTTTTAAAAAATGAATCAAGGTTCTGACAAATTTCTACAATGGAATGAAAAAAAAAAAAAGTAAAGATTACACTACATACTTTTAACTGGTATCTCTCTACTGCATCTAATGCTTTTTTTTCTTTTGAGAAACTTAATATCATATGGCAAAATAAAATAAGTTGTTGTCAACTGACAGTTAACAAAGGTCACTTGTAAAAGCCTACTTAATACCTTCTTCTTGCTAGGGTGATAGACAAGTGCAAACGCTGCTACTCTAAAAGTTACTTTCTTCAGGGATATTTTTTCAGGTCTGTATTATTCCAGTTATGTGCATCAATTTGATATGTATGGACCAAACAGAAAAGCCTATCTATCTGTATGCTAACTAGAACATAGGGTAATTTTGCCCTTCTTCATCCACTTTTTTCAATAGGACTCAGAGGCTGTCTTAATTTTCCATTTACCACATTGCAACCCGTACAACAGTAGCACTGCATTGGAATTGTTGCTTCAGCTGAGAAATTCTGAATTGAACTTTTTTCTGATCTGACAACACTGCTTTTGTCAGTTGTAGAAGATACTGTTCATCAACACAAGGAGTGCCCTCCATTCCCTGGGGACTGAGTATGCTGGCTGTGTAACAGTCCCAGCCTTGCCATCCCCAGGAGGGACTCCTTCATTTGTTAATTTAAGTCTTAATGTATTATTATTTTTTTTGGTACTAGTTTTGGACCAATTGAATACAAAGGCCCTATGAGTGCTGTTTATATTGAAAAGTTTGTTCGCCGGGTGATGACACCACTTCTCTACATCTCGTCTCGATCAAAATTACTAGATTTCCTCTCAAATTATGAGGTACTTGTCTCTATTCTCTAGCTTTACAGTTTATAGTTCTGAAAGAATTTGGTTTGTTTTAGGATTAAATATGAACAGCTCCAAAGCAAAGGCTTTTATCAGAGTCTCGGAAACCTGCAGTGCCTCTTAAGTGTTGCAATTGTAACACGCAGAAAATGATAGACCAATAATAGCACTTCCTAATGCACTGCCTATATTTTCTGCATTGTATGAATGTTATTCTAGTGTATTGTCATTGATTCTTATTGCACTAGTGTCTAGGGACCACAACAGTTTGGGACCCCAGTATATGGGTGGCTGTTATATAAACTTAGTAAGAGCAAAGGCTTTCCGTCTAAACTGGGAAGGCAGACTGCCAGTATATAATTGATTGAATGTTTAAATAGTCAGTTGAAAACTGCGCATTTCTAACAAATAAGCAAAATGGGCAGGTAAGAAACGATATTAAATAAATTGAATAAATAATCTCTAGAGAAAATCTTTTTCACTAGCTTTATACTTTTAATCCACTTTAGGGAGTGCTTCATTATGTTCCACTAACTTTTAGGTTTTTGCTTTGGAAGGAGGAGCTAAAGCTGGTAGCAGTACTAACAAATAAATAACTCCCAATTATTGGAACAACACTACCATGTCTGTAACACGATGAAAAAATGGCATAGTACTGTTAAATACAAAATGCTCAAGCTGAGCAAAGTGTATTTGTTCTCTGCATTGTGGTAGTGCCAAAGTTTACTAGCTGTTTTCCAATTGTGAATAAACCATGCTATCTGCTTTGAACAGCAGGCAGACAGATGAAGGCTGGGTGAAAGGAATACCACGTACAAATGAAATCAGTGTGGTTGGCACATGTCTTAGTAACTGTGTGCTTGTTTGTTTCGGTTTATGGGGGAGTGGTTTGGCACAGAAGAGAGGGATGATGAAGAGGGGATGGATTTGAATGGGAGGAAGAATGGCTGGCAGATAAGTTGAAAGCAGACTGATGGGAAAGAAAAGGGAGCTGGTAGTTTGTCAGGTGGTTAGCTCCGAAAAATGAGGTCCTGATGTGATGGGAGTTTACTTAAAGGGAAGAGAGCAAACAAGCATTTTAAAAATATCTGAAAATTGACTAGTTCATAGATGAAGTGTCTAATGGGACTGGGAGGCTGGTAAGCTTCTTGATAAGGATAACGTTCTGCCTGTGAAGAGCTCTAGACTTCCTGTTTCTCATGTTGAAATTTTGTGTGTTAATGGAAGTGGAAGTCTTGGGCTCCCAAACTCATGGTACATGCAACCCTTTTATGTATTGCTTTGAGCAAGAATCAGTTTTGGACTGGCTTGTTCTTGTCCCAAGAGCGCCATCTGCAAGAGGCACGTGGGATATGATTTACCTTAGCGATATTGTCTGTCTCCTTCACTGCTAGCCCACTTTCTGTGGTCTGGATCAGAGTAAAAAAGTTAGAACTACATTGTTCGGTTGCCCTGTGGTGAAATGCTTGCTGGTCAGTGGGAGGCTTGCACAGACCTCAGTGGTGGTACTTGTTTCTTATGTAGCAACTAAACACTTTAGTTGTCATTACGTACTAGATGTTCAGTAGCTTGTCAGATTTGGTATGGTTCAGTGCTGAATGAACACCGGTACTTTTGCCCTTTGTTACCTTCTTTTCTAAAGGCTCCTTACTCTATTTCGTTTTGCGTGTTTTGTTTTTTTTTGTCTCTGTGTGCATCTCTGTCCGGTTTTTGGACCAGTTGGTTTTTCTTCCTGTACGTTACTCATTCTTTCTGGTAAAGTGGTCAGCAAGGAAGTGGTTAAAGTTAATAATAACATTTCATAGGTCAAATGAGATTATTGAAGAATTAATACATAACCCCCTCCTAACCACGGCTTCAGGGCGTCTGTTGTTGCAGGCAGGCATTACTGCATTTTTAAAGTTTGACTTATAAGTTTTTATTTGAGACTATGAAAGTAAAAACTTTGTTTAACTGAAAACCTAAGCTCTGATTGTGCCTCTGGTTAACAGTTCATGTTTTGGTGATATCCAGTTAGAATTCATCTCATCGCAATCAGGTTGTCTCTTACAGTTGAATTCTTTACTCCTCATTATGGAGGCCACACTTAAATGGTAGTACAGTGTTGACCTGTGCAATGAATACTGAAGTCCTGCAGTCATTAAAAGGACTTAACAGAACGTGACATGAGCATGTTGTACATATGTGGGTTAAAGGCTGTAGAAAATAATATGGGTTAACACTTTAAACAGGCAGATCCACAAAATGATAACCTTTATGCCCATTTTTATGAGACTTTTACTGTTTACTTTGTACAGTTGAATAACATACTTTTCATGATTTGATAATCTAATTTCGTTGGGGTTTTTTTGTCTAGTCAGACTGGTCCTCCAAACAGAACAGTATCTATTGAAAATGAAATAGTACTTCTTGGAAGTATGTATTTGTGAAAATATTTAATGTTGTTGGTTTGACTTAAATTTATGGAAGGCTGAAAGTTCAGAGTTTAGCCTAACGCTCTTTTTCTTATCTCATGCTGACCTGTCAGGGAAAAGGTCTTAAGTGCATAGTTTGCTGTTGCATTATTTATTTCTAGAAGTTCCATGAAGGCCACAATTTTAGAAGTCCTTTTAGGTCAAATTCTTATTTTTTAATGTAATTCCAACTTAGTGTGCATTAGGGTAGTTATTTGATTTAATTTATCTTACCTGATACTAAGGATAAGAAATCTTCCTGGTGTAAATCTTTGCATTTTGCACTCATATCTGGATATATGGAGACAGTTAAGCCTATGATGTATCCTGGAAAGAACTCTTTTTCTGTTAGACATAGCAACGATACCTTTGTAAGCAAAAAAAAAAAAAAAAAAAAAGGCAAGCTGTGTTCTGGAATAGTAGGGGCCAACTTTTTGGCCGGCATCCTCTAGCCCAGTGCTTCCCAACCTTTTCCCCAGCATGATCCCATTTAAACATTGGAAAATTTTTGTGACCCCAAAAATGATGCAGACAAGATCAACACCTCTCTTCTCTCCCTCCACAAGCAGTATGGCTGGAGTGGGGCCTGTGGGAGGATGCAGGTTGCCTGCTGTGGGCTCAGGGGGACCCACCTCAGAAGGGTGTGGGGGAGGCTTAGTGCTGCTGCCAGGAGCCCCATGTCAGCAGCAGTGGTGTTGAGTTGTGCCCTTTGCTGCTGCTGGGCAGGCAGAGGGTGCCTTGTGGTGGTGGCCTGGCTGGCGTGGGGCTCCCAGCAGTGGCACCCAGCTTTCCCACCTGCTGGGGAGGACAACAGGGCACGGAGCAATGAGCCCACAGCAGATAACCCGCATCCCTCCCCGCCCTCTGCACAAACCTGGGGGGACACGCATCCCCCCATACCTCCCTCCCCAAGGGTGCACACAGCAGTGGGGAGCCAGCCCCCCCCCCCCCCCCCCCCGGCCCACTTTGCTCT